AAAATACAAGGTGTAACTTTGTTTTATGTTCATATAACAACGAGAGATTTGTGGTTGTTTTAATGAGCACAATCGCTCTATATTAGGATCATTAGAGAGCACTCTTGCTTCTTATTTTGACTTAACAACCGCTGGAAATAATTTATATTTTTGCGTGCATGAAAGACAAGTTTTGTATTTAAGTGGCGCATAAGTTTACTCGAAAACATTGCTTCATTTGAAAGTTGCTCCCCCCAAATAACCCAGACTGGTTTTGGAGCATCTCCGTTACCACAGCAAGAAAATCCATAATTGACGTAATCTTCCCTGTATTTCCTTTTGACAAGTTTTTTTTTCCAACGTTGCTTGTGCTAGGTACAATATGTTGCTCAGTATCAGCTGTTCTTTTTAAAAATGTATCATTTTGCAAAACTTTAACGTTCCTTGACTTTTTTAATCAAAGACCACTGGCCACTGATTCTGCAAACTCACACTTTATTTATATTCGATTACTACATGTGCTATGTTTTAGCCTCGACAATAAGCTTTGCAATATACATGCTTGTCATATAGGTCTACTCCTTGTTACGTCACAAATGCACAGTGAGGGGTGTCAGGAATTTGAATTGGTGTCGCTCAAGCAAACGTAAAATCAGGTTAACTTTACGTCAGTAGAGTAGAGTGGTAGACTATTGCAAAATTAACAAAAAAAAAAAATAATTTGTAAAAAGAAGAGAAAAGTTGCAATTCCTGTGCGGCACACCTGGCATCGTCTCGCGGTACACCAGTGCGCCGCGGCACACCGGTTGCGGAGCACTGGTTTAGACCGTCGTGAGACTAGTTAGTTTAACCCTACTGATGTAGTGTTGTTGCGATAGTAATTCTGCTCAGTACGAGAGGAACCGCAGATTCAGACATTCGGTTCATGTGCTTGGCTGATAAGCCAATGGTGCGAAGCTACCATCTGGGGGATTATGACTGAACGCCTCTGAAGTGAGAATCCCGCTTAAGTAGCGACGATAATCTGGTGCCTCGCCGCCGGCGCCGCGCGAAGGCGAGGTGCTAAATCATTTGCAGACGACCTAGTTGTAGATCGGGGTGTCGTACCCACTCGAACAGTTTCGCACTGCGATCTGTTGAAAGTCATCCTCCAGATCTACGATTTGTCTTTTTGGGACTTGTCTTATTTTTTTCGACTCGCCAGCGACGCCAGACCTGTCTTATTTTTTTTTCCCCGCGCCGGACTTGTCCTATTTTTTTACCGAGCCGTGCGGGGCACGTCATCGTGGTGTCGGACTTATCTTCCCCCCGTCATCGTGGTGTCGGACTTATCTTCACCCCGCCGGGCGGGGCCGCCAGGCGCGCTCGAGCAAGGTTTGATGACGAGCCGTCACTCATCCCCGACGAAGCCCACGTGTCCTTTCGCAGTACAAAAAGGCGGCGTCGCCGCCGCCCATTGGCTCGCGCCTCGATTCGAAATCTTTCACGTGATTGCCGCTCGCTTGCTCGCTTGGCTGGTTTCGCGCCGACCGCTGACACTTGATTGGCCGTTACTCACGTCTTATGGCCCGATACGACTTATTCAGGAATAAAAACGAAATCTAACCAATTTATTAACAGAGCGCCTTATATTACCATGCGCCTCGTGCTCTGTAAAAGACGATAGGTAAATTTCTACTAGGGTGAAAATGTTGGTTTTCAGGGAGTTCTTAAGCTCAGGTATTCAAATTATTAACAAAACATATTTTGGGGCAGATTAGAAGTCATGGAAAAAACATCATTTTTCTCGATCTATTGTACCCCTTGAAAAGTCGAAATGTACCACTGGGGGTAATTGCATTCCAATTTGGGTTAAATAATCAGACTGATCCATCGATGGCGAGACAATTGAAACAACCTATTATAACATGTAAATATCGAGACTTTATTATGTAGTGTTTGATGCCAATTTTTAAAAAATATTCAAAGTGAATTGCATGAAAGTTAATATAGTTCTAAAAAACGAGCCCGACACGTTATCCTAATCCACCATTAACGTACTATTTCTTTCAAATTATACATTACAATTTCTCAAAGTTCGACACTTCAATTTTACTCCTTGTGAAACATTTTTAAAAAGTGGAGTTCATTGGCATAATGACCTTTAGAACATCCTCGGAAATTTTTCATTTCGTAAAGATTTTTGTTGAGTTACTCGTTGAAGATTTGCTGTTAAACGTTTGTTTTTATTATTGTTTTGTTATTTATTTTCGTTATGTTAAAGTACACTTTTGAGTGTGTAAGTAATAGAGTGACTTCAATTGAGAAATTATTGCTCTATCTTGTAAAATAGTTTGCAATTATTCTTTTGAATTGGCAATAGAATGAAATTATCAACTTATGAAGTATGCTTTGTATTCGAATCAGTGACACATTGCATGAATTATATATATTTAAAATCTCACAAGTAAAATAAAGGTACGAACAAAATATACACAAACTTTATTCACATAAAATTTCTGACATACGATACTGAAATTAATACGATATGAACGCAAGGCATAATTTTCCTTTTTTTCAAACATCAACTTATGGAATAGATCATAAACCATTATGTGATTTACATTTCATATTAGGCCGGGTTGAATCAGGTATTCAATTTATAAGCGATGTATATAGTAGTACCAAAATATTTATTACAATATCAATTTTGAGCTTTCTCAAACCGTTTCCTACACATTGTAACATTGTCATGTCATATTCAATAGATGTGAATTTGAGGCTTATCAATTGCCGCATGCTTCGAGTTCGTATGTATAAACTAGAAGCAAACCAGCATAGTCTATAAGTACATATCAGTCGGCTGGCAAAAAATGCTATGCAAAAAATCCACGGTAACAGTTACATGATTGGCTTTAGGAAAAACTGCGAATTACTGATTTCATCAATCGAATTTGTTTGAATTTTATAGACTTCATGTAAAATGAACTAAAATGCAAAAATATGTAGATGATTCGAGCCTGAAAATCAGCCATTGAAAATTTATAAGACTGCATTTTGTTTGTATAAGTATAGACTTGTATAGGAATATATAGAAAACTACCAATAAACATGATTGTTTTCATTAGTAATAAATATCAATTAATAGTTGCAAAAAGTAGTGCCTCTATCCCGGATACTTTTGAATATTCATTCATCAGCAATGTTCTAGTATGTTCCGTCGTCCTGTCTAACGGCGTTCATTTCCTAAAGTAACGTAAACCTTGAATTACAATGTTATTCAATCGCGACATACTGATATTACAACAAAGTTGTTTGCCTTCTAAAGTTAATTGCTTTTGTTGACTATACTGTGTTAGAAGAATTGGTCACTTACTGCTCTTACTGCTTGTCATAGTTAGAAGCACGAAACCGGACTGCTTTTAAGTCATTAAAGTCATACGTTACAACGCTAATGTTCTGAGTTCATAAGAGTATATAGAAAAAATACATATAATTGATTCAAAATACGACTTGCGTAGTGGATTTCGGTAAATAGTCTACGTACCTCGGCGAGGCGTCTGAAAATAGAAGGATTCTGATACATTGCTCTAACATCTGGTATGACGCTTCTGAATGCAAATGGATTCTTGAATCTTTCCTTCAAGATCAGAGGCATCTAAGAATGCGAAAATATTCAATCTTTAATGTAATTTGAATATGCGTGATTTAAAACATAAATATGTGTATTCCCGGTGGGGCAACTCCCAATAGCCTTTGAAATCAACTCAATAAACGCATTATTTATTTATAGATTTACCAATTTAAAACTGAGCAGCAGTTAGAAGATATGCGTTCAATGACCGAAAAAACGTGTCAAATTAGGGCTGCCGGTTTTTTTTCAGAACTTGTATTACTGGACTTCTGCGTCACTCGGGTCACATCAATGCTAAAAATATTTTCCTAAAAATCGAATTATATATATATATAAAGTAATTATTCGACGCAAAACAACCATAATATTTACATTAATGCATTAAAGTCACATCAATTAAATAAAAATGAATCAAAAATTGATGCGATTCTTTTATATTCGATTGTAGGGAGAAAAATGAACCCATATTATGTAATTTTGGAATACCGATTTTGTAACAGTTCGCCGCTCGCGAGTTCCACGTTCGTCCTTATACAGAGCAAAAATTTTATGTATGAATGTTCAGCCACCTTCCCCTAGAATAACTTTAATACTCGTAATTGTACTTCAAAGAGGGCACGCCGAGGAAGATAAAAGATGAATCGATTTTCATACGCTTCGACTCACTGTCTATATTTGTTGCCGGAAATTTAAGCCTTTTGTGATTAGGTCGGAACTATTGTAAATATATGTTTATGTGACGAGGACAGCTGTGTTTCCATGGCTGCATTTTGATTTTATCGTGTGGACATAGCCTATCGATTTTATTCTCGTGTGGTTCATTCCTACTTTCAATACAACAAGATAGAAGAAATTCGCAGGGTTATATCTAGAAATGAAGTCTGATACTATCCGCCATTTGTGTGACACTATTACTATAACGGTGATCGTCCAACTGTTCAATATACATTCAGTTCAAATTGCTATTGAATGTTCAGTAAAAATTTTATTTCGAATTTCCAATATAAAAATTACAAAGTATCTTGGATTTCGAATCACATTATAAAATATGAAAGTCCGGTTTTGATGTACAATAAAACCTCCACAATATTTTATTTCCAATAGTGAAACCATGTCCTTCGTTGTCTTTGGAGCTTTTTAAGTTTAAGTGAGTGAATGTTCCCGGGGTAATTACAAATGTGACCTGATCTAAATCTTTATGTTCTCGATGGTGAGGATTAGCTTTGTACGCAGATATGACTTATAAATATTTAATCAAAAATTTGTCAAGTCAATGAGATACGGACCATATCACATTTTAACGCTTGAGTTCAACTTGACACCTTTTAGTTCACTTGATAAAAATTGATTTCCTCCCCTGCTTTGGGGTCAATGCTCAGAATCAGTTTATTTTAATTATTAAAGCGTTGTTTTGATGGAAAAAAATTCCACTTGTTAATCTCTCTGCTAGTTAGTGAATTTGATAATTCAGTATATCAGAATTTAGCCAATCAGAAGTGTTTAATGAAAATTGAGTCATACAAATAATTTTCATCACAAAATATATAGATGGTTCAAATAAAAATACCACAAATTGTAAATATTCGAGCATTTCATTTTGTAACCATATTGGTTGTAGATCAAATATTATGGAATGGCAACAAACACTCTAATTATACGACTCTTCGAAACAAGCCACGTCTAAGAGGAGGCTTGAAAAATAATAATTCCAAGCAATATCAATTTCATAGTCAATTACTGTAAGAAAAAGTGATTTTAAATTATAAACTTTTCCAGTAAAAACGATCAGGTGTGTAGATAAGTATATCGGGGTTCAATCTCTTGATTAAATATTTTATATTTTTTCCATTTCTCACAAAATATTTCGAACTATAGCATTGCACATAGGGATAGTGATCTCTAGAATCGCGCACATAGATGTCACTAATCTACGCTAAAATTAGTAGGTTTTACCAGCCAAATGTAAATGTCGCCCGGTTATTCAAACGATTTATTTTCAGATTACTCAAGCAATTCTGCCAAAACGGCAATTAGTACCTGATATTGATTTCTCTTGAGAACGAACGGACTCTTGTAGAAATGTTTTGCCTGGTCGTTTTTTCCACGTTTCTCCTAGATTGAAAATAAATGTCAGTAACTTCTGGGATTACTCAATGTTATCTCAGTACCTCAAAATTCATTGATACCCGACATTCTTACTAGCATAAATTTTTTATTCTCATTTGCTCTTAAAGCTCTCTATGTCAAAAAACATTTTTTTATAAAATCAGCGCAAAGCTGATTTCATATTGTGTATACTTGCAGCGCTTGAGTTTTTTTGACAATCAAAAATTATTGAGAACTTTTATCGGCCCCAATACAATTTTCTAAAAGAAATTTTCACGAGTCTTCGTTTTCGTTAGTATAAAATCAATTGGCTTGCGTTATAATTTTCAGGTGAATATAAGGAAAATTATATGTACTTTATTTATATATATTTAATGACGAAGAATTTTTTACATGATATTTAAAGATATTAGAAAAATAAAAAAAACTATACATGACATGCTAAATATTTTTTTTTATATTCAAAAAATCGATTCCAGAATACGAAGTATTGAAATATTGCGTCTTATTTTACCTATAATAATCATTGGTTCATTTAGTCGGCGTTTTCGTTATTCGTTGATGCTTTTGGGGAAGCAAAATGGAATTTTTACATATTACACAATCTTCAATCTTTTAAACATTCAAAATAATTTATGTCAATGTTAAAAGCAGGTATATTTTTTGTGAATGTAGGAGAGCAGGGAGCTTCTTACCTCATCGTCATCTCTCTTAATAACAAACGGATTCTTGAACCCTCTTGTATTCTCGTGTATTACGTCATCATTCAGGTCTCCAAGAATTGGGATAGTATAGTCTTCCTTCATTGCTTCGTATCTTTCAGGAAAATACTGAAATATAGATAGGTATAAATTTCATTATAAATTTTGTATATTCAACAGTGAAACAAAGGGTGGGGTCTGAATCTACACCAAAACCAAAATGTAATTCATGAAAAATACGTGCTAAAAATTTCGACTTAATGACCGCTAGAATAATGAAGATACATGGGCCCCTCCCCGTTAAAAGCTGTGTCGTGTCATAAATTAAAGATGTATTCCAAACTCTAATTCAGTCGTATATTATTTTTATAAACAATGTGCGGTTATATTTGTTTTGGAGTTGTCATCTTTGGGGATGCTGTGACTTGATTTACGAATGTTTTATTTTGCTTTTTTCAATAATTCATTGGATCGTGCTTTAAATTTATGTCGGTTCGTGACGTGTTTGTTTATGGCCTGAAATATTAATTTGCTAGGTTTATGTATCTCTATTAAAATAGTCATAGAAATGTCCTCTCGAGTACACTGATACCGTCGTTGAAAACTAATCAAGTACAACAAAGGAAATATTTTTGACAGAAGCTCAAGCTCTAGCTCAAGCTAGTTACGATTTTAATCTGCACATACGTAGATCATTTAGATTTCTATGCAAAAACATCATATAATCATATTTATGATCAAAAATACAAAAAGCCAATTAAGTCAAAGCAACTTAATATGCCAAAAGGTATGAATTTAATGAAATAATCATGATGTATTTTTACATATTTGATTTAGCGTTCACTTTTATTCCCGAAGCATTGGAGGGTGCTGGAAGATTATTTTTCATATGTATGCATATTATATACAAAAAATATTAAAATTCCCATTTTGAATAGGACTAAAATGGAATTAATATGCCCTGTGCCATCCGCATATTGACAATTTCAAATTATGAAAAATTGATCTATTCTTGTCAAATTCTAACTAAGAAGCTTTAATTTAATTTAGTTTTGACTTTAATTTGACTGATATTAATATTGCGAGAAATGTTGACATTTTACTTTAATAAATAAATATATTTAATTTCTTATCGTAGTATCAAAGTAAACAATATTACTTCATTTGGTAAAAACACATTTTGACAACGTATATTACTAAATTGTGAAGTGAAACATAATCTACGAGACAATATTGTTGGATTGTAATTTGCATTTTATTTCAATAAAAAGGCTTCTATATTCATTATATATGTTTCATTACAATCATTGTCGAACAATACAGATGCAAGTAGAAACGTTTTATTAATATGTTGAATTTTAAATGTCTTCTCACCATTCTCTCTAGTTCTTCCAGTGAATCTTCGTATAATGTTGGATCCACCCCTGAAACGAGCAAAAACAAATATATTTTGAGTATATATGATGTGTGCATAAAATCACACAGAATTTTAATTCGCGCTAATAGTCAAAGGGCGCAATTCATCGCGGGTTTAAAATATAAATATATACATTATAGAATGAGTTCGTGATATATGAGTTAGATATATAGCTCACGGTAAAGTAGATAATAATACTGGACTTTACATAATACTGTGTAAATATTCAAAAATCCGCACGCAGGATTACAATCAATCTGTATCAATATATAAATGAATTTCTGCTTCTTATAAATCGTAAATATATTTAATTATGAATATACAAAATATCATGAAAAATACAAGATACTTGAAAATATTTTATAATATTTCGAATCTTACCCATGATAGCACTTTGACATATAGCTGCAAATGCAATTACGAATACTACTTGATAAACGACAAATTTTGCATTGGCCATGTTCCGCCTTTTTAAATATGGAGTCATTTTCTCGGATTTTTTTTATAGCCGAACACTATTAAATAATATGACACTTTCTATTCTATCTACAAAAAAAAATTAAAAACGTTTATTAGGTCGGTAGGGACGTCATATAATAGATATTTATAAATAAATATCCAGTATTTCAGTATATCGTCGACTCATCACATTTCTATATTAAAGTGGCTGCTTATCAGGCCTGGGAAATATTAAGGAAGATTTAATCAAGTCGAAACTAGTATGAATTAGCTGATGGAAAAAATTCCGTTATTGATGAACCTACAAATGATCAAAACCTAAGTATCTGATTATTTTCCCTTATTAAAACTCATGTAGATAGTGCTGAACTAGTGCGGAGACTATTTCTCACTTTTAAATATTTTAAATACAATTTTATTGAAGAAAAGTTTAAAATAAAGCATTAATATTCGAAATTTAATATAACTATATCATTCGAAAGATCGTTTTTAAATATCCTCCAATTAATGTGTCGTCTTTCGTCTCATTGTACTGGGCAGTGTACTACGCCACGCTACAAAAAATTGTTTCGCAGAAACGCTGCATTTTCGTTTTATATAAATAAGGCACCTCGGAATGAAAGTTAAAACTTTCTCGCTAATACATGTCTGATAATAATAAAAAAGCTGTCTATATGATCTATTTTAACTAAACGACTAAGCTAACAAAATTTTTGCTACGTGCATGCCGAAAATGTTCTTCGTCGTCACAAGCCACAAAGGCTATAATTGACAATTGATCGGTATTCCAAATATATGTTCAATTTTTCTAAACAAAAACCCTAGCTAAGCAAACTTAATTTCTAAATGTTGATTGGTTTTCATAACAACATCATTAAAATTTGATGCGAGAAAAATTCCCGCCGACTTGTCGGTGTTTTAATTGTTCTGACATGTTGGCAGGGTTTTCAGTAGCGGGAATCCTGTCTTTTGTTTGACATGTATTATTTATTGAAGACATTTTATGAAAGGTTACAACTTTTCTTTTAAAACAACACGTAAATTTAGGATAGAATTTGAACGGGTGGATGATAAAAATGCAGGTCTTTGGCCAACTATCATACCAATGCATTGCAAATGCCAGTAAATGTTGACTGTTTTTTATACCGTGAAAACAAAAATATACTTTGTTTTTATTATACCTTTTTATTGTTATTAAGTTAAAAGCTCTGACATGTTCATCGCGTATTTGTCTCACAAGTTGTTGTTTTTTTAAAATAAATTTAATAATGAAACTCTAATAAGAAAACAACAGCTGCCCTGGTCAAACATTGTCAATAGCAAAACAAAAATAGTATTTGAAGTGTATGTTTGTGAGGATTGTGAGCAAAAGCACACTAAAATGACTTTTGCTCAATTTCAACGCGTTCGAAGCAAGTAAATCCGAGTTGTCTCACAGTAAATATATAAGTACGAATGAAATGTTTAAAATTATTTCTATAATATTATGGAAGTTATTTAAGAAGAGAAAAACAGTTGAACAGTTGAATTCGCCTCATTTTCTTGAGGAAATCTATTGCGAATAGTGACGAAGGGTGTATGCAAACTGATTTCGGAAAAGGAATTCGAATAAATTGATACAAACCATTTCACGAGAATAGTTCATAGATTTTTTTTTTTCTAAAACGTCCGCACCGATGGATGAATATTAAGCAAACAACATGGTACATTTTTTACAACATCTCAACTACTAACCTACAATACGTCTGCCTTTACTCGTTCTCGTAATAAACATGCTGTATAACTGTTGCTGACATCTATAGTACCTACTGTTCTAACTATCTATTCTAGTTTGTATTTGCAATATAGGTTTGTAAAACTCGAGCGATACCAGTAATACAATTCGGAAAATGTAATTGGCTATATGTATTTATATATCTACATCTAGTCACTCCAGGGAATTTTAAAGATCTATACGGTAAAGCATACTCATATTATTTTTCTAGGGCGTTTTTCTTCTTCGGGTTTTGATTGAAAAGTTGCCGTGTTATTGACTTGAATCGATTTTTGCATATGAAAATGACATAATATTTAATATTAGGCACACTTATACAGCACTCCAGTGATATTAATTATTATTTGGCTAATTACTCCCAGAGATTACAATAAGTAATTCGCACTCTGATTACGTCCAAGTATTGAATTTCTTATTGAATGTCTGCGCTCGCTAATGATGTATGAGGTGTGACAATGCCGATGTAATTAGAAGTAGTATGGAAGCTGTTCATACATTATGCGTCCCACTATATTAAAAGTTTCAATTTCCTATTAAATATTATTATACTGAGATATTTTCAAAGGGTTGGAATTTCATACAATGGAAAAATTTAATTAATTATTCTGTGCCCGTCACTATTCCATAAAACGTATGGGGCTTTTGAAATACGTACTAAAATCGGTCCACAACAAGACGTTTAAATTTATTATCACGCTATTTTCCAACTGTATTTATTTGAATATTATCAAGTTATTATATTCGACCGAACAAAAACTATTCGCCTCATTTAATCACGCTTAACTTCTAAAACGAATTATGATATATATCGAACAAGTTCAGTCAATATTACTTTGATTGATTTGAAAATTTCATTTTGTCTTTTTTCGTGAAACGAAGGTAAACGAATAGATGCATGGTGTTTGTGGTTTTGTGAGAAGTATACACAATGTAAATAAATGGGTTGGACATTATAAAATAAAACGAGATTCAAATCCTATATATAGGCTTTAATGAACTGCTCGACGCCTGATCAGTCTGAGATAGTTATTGCGCCAACTTATATCGAAAAACTCTCCTTCCACCTGAAATACAACGTTTTGTTGTAATGGGCTCTGCCTTATATATCTTCGTCGAAATGATCGATCGATCTTTGACATATAGCGTTGTTATGACCCTGGCCGCACGCTATTTATCAGAAATGACTGCAGTACAATGGGGTCGATACCTAATGACGCCAATGGATATCTGAAACTGGCGTTAGTTAGTTGGGTACAAAAAGGGTTGCTAAATATTGAAGATATCTCAGATAATAAATTTTAACAATAAGAAATATTGTTATTAATGTAATAAATCAATTATATAATTAACATATCAGTGAAAAAGAGTTTGGGTGAGGGGTAAAACGAATATGGGTGTATTTCAAAGCAACTGCTTAACTAACTAAATTTATTACAGCTATGTACCATGCATATAAATGTTTTGAAACAATAGCCAAAATTATGATACTGAAATTTGCTGTCAGACAAAAGTATGTAATGTCCATTTTTGTATTTTTGTGCACTTCTTTATCTTATGATTATTATATTATTTAATATTGGCCTGATGTAAAATGTCGACAAATTTGAACACGATACTTCTAAATGTTATCAATGCTCCATCATTTTCTTAGACTCGCATTACAGACTTTGCAGCGGTCGTTTGAGTTTGTCATCTGGCTTGCGACTTTTTGTTATATAAGACGTTTAACGGAAATTTCTATTGTTAACATGATTAATCATTTGTGCAAATTGTGAATCATGGCGCTAAGCAATTATATCTAATGAAAGGAAATCAATTTTTTCTGGAATTCAATATTGTCGTTATAGTTACCCAATATTACTGGTGTTATATTCTCCTCACTCGGAAATTACCGCGATGGCAATGCAACAATTTGTAACCTTATTTTTTTTTCAATTGATGCCCCGAAAATGGGAAATGTCGGGGTCAAATTACACCCTCTTTTTTGAAATTTTTGGAAGAGTGAAAAAATCGCTAACGCGTGCTATTTTGTTGTAATCGCTGATTGTTTTCGAATGTGTGGCTTGATGGTTTAATTAGACTGTGAACATATATATATTGGATACGCAAATTCTCCCTCTCTAACAAGTATCTGTCAGACACAGACATCTGTGAGCGTCGTGGGTCACGAGGACATCGATAATTAGTTTTTTTCGTCATGCGTCCAGTTATTATTATTACGCAAACATTGGCGACGGCAACGAGATGTTGATGCTAATTAACGTCTCAATTTCTAATTATGTATCTATCGATATTTTTTATTAAACGCTCGCTGAACTGCTGGAGTTTATTTTAAACAATGACAAAAAAATTTAGCAAAGATTATTTATATTGCTTAAATTCTGAATCATATTAGATAATTAAAACAAAATCATAAAAATGTATGTACGGTATTTCGGTGGAGTGATACGTTTCAAGTTTAAAGTTTCGTAAACATGATTATATTTTCAATTATTTATCACTAGTGCTTTAGATTATATATACGTAAAGGCGAGGAGATAAAATTTATTTTTATAATATATCTACAACTGGGAATATTATTCCAACGATCGTAAATACGCCGTGATGCCAAGTATAAAACATGCTTAGTAGCTATGAAATAAGAAAGTAGAGATCCAAGCAACACGAATGATTGCAGTAAATCTGAGAAAATGGATAAGATCTATGGAAATATATGAAATTGGGTTGACGATTAAAGTAATCAGCACAAACGGTTCTTGCGCTACGGAAGGGACTCTCGGCAAATGAGCGTTTCATGTATGTGGTACATATTATGTGGAAGCAGAACTCAAATACATCTAAGTCACGCTACGATCTCCTAGGAGTCAACATAACGGCCTTACAATAAAAAAACTATACAAGTCATGCAGAAAGTATTCTAAAATGTCAAAACCTGCCCCTTTTTTGCAATACGACATAAAAATGCTTTTGTACATTATTAACCTCACCTGAACTCTCACTTCTCAGTTATAGATCTAATTGTAAATTGATAGTAAGGCAAAAATATCCGTACAAATATACGGGTTGAATTGACGAAACAAGACTATATCTGCAAATACAACCTCAAACAACGTTAAGAACATGATTGCTATCGCACCTGCGTTTCCCTGCTCGGGTTGGGAGGTTCGAATCCCGTGGAGGATAATTATCTGCTATTATCCGTCGTAAGACAGTTTACGGACCCAGTGGTCAAAAACGGCTTCCTCCACCACCAAGCCGATGCATTTGAAACAAATACCCGGTTAACTATTGCTCTATTCAACTGGTAACTTGACGAAAAGACGTGGATCGCCATATGATTGGGTCATCTTATTGGCATAAAGATGAAAATCTTATTTATTCTAAAAGTTCTATTTGTGTACGACAATCGGTCGACTCCATATAATTTCTAATAATCGTTTTGACTCTCCATTTAGAATTGGTGTGTTAAAATGTTGTCCACACTCTGACATCCAAACTCGATAGAAATAAATCGACTTCAGTTAAAAGTGGGTACTACTACATATAGGGGGTGCTATTTACGTAGGGTCGACTTAGTTTCCTACTTGAAAACTGCTTGAATTGCTTGAAAAGGCTCAGATATTCGGGCAACCGATCAAGGACGTTTTATGTAATGAACGTACCGCCACTGACAGTCTGGCAATAGGCTTCAAAGAACTGATTCCAGAGTCAGTTTTTACCACTTTATTTCGTTACTCGACTGTTTGTTATAATATTCAATCAGAGTACGATGTCATCAAGTCACACTTTGGACTGATATAATTTATGCCTCTTGTGTTTTCATCAACCATAAAATCAAGTTCGGTTAAATATTTGAAAACTGGAATGAAGTGTACTAGATGAGCAACTGCGAATATAAAAGTAGTAACCATGAGGACGAAATGCACAGTGGAGATGGTATGGATTAGAACTAGATGACAGAACATGAAAATAACGCTGAAGACCTTGCAGCGGCTGAGATCAGTAACACAAGTGAATGATACCAGGAAAACGTAAAATCTCAGTAATGGTTGGGCGTATTGATGAAACAATCTTTCAACATTTTTATTAATTCAGCCATAATTTGCAACAAGACAGTGTTGAATGCTGAACAATACTGATCCGTCTGTCTACATCAGTGTTTCCCAAACTTTTTTCTGCCAGCGCCCCCTTGGATGACTTTTTAACTAGTAAACGCCTCCCTGACAAAAAAAAAGTCAAAGCAACTTTATTCTTCATTTATTATTAGTATAATGTGAAGATTGAGCCTAGTGAAATGCCACTAGTTTGATAATATCTGGCTTCATTTCAGTCAAACACAGTCTTGAGTCTCTTCGTCTGACACTGTCGAGGAAATCTCTCTTTATATGTAAAAGTGCGGTCACTGCACTAAATACACGCTCTACCAATAATGAGCTACCAAGAGCAAGAAAAAAATATTTAACGCGATCTCTCAGGTGAGGATATTTCAATTTGATTGTGTTTCCAAAAAGATGGAATACTGAAAGACTGGACGTGGGTTTAAAGTATAAACCCAATGATAGTGGTGCATGTTCGCTTCTGAAAGTTCGGGGTTATCTAGAAAATGGAAACCAAAAAGTTCTTAACTATCTTCAAAAAAATTATTTATTTGCGCTTGAACTTCTGTTTGCGTATGATTTTCTAAGAAGTTTCGCAAAATTTTCAACCACTTAGTTTTCTACTGAAGCGCAGGGCATGGAAATGAAAGAATTCAAACGGTGAATACAGAACATTACGTAGTTGTGCCAAGAAAAATCTGTACATCACTTGAGGGATTGATAGAGGTGACCAGCAGTGGTTCCAGCATAACGAGGCGACGCCCCATACATAAAATCATACGCTTGCTTTCCTGAGAGAAAAGACAGCAATGACATCTAGTAGGCACCCCAATTATCGAATTGAAACTTTTTGATATGTAGGGTGTTCGAGGGACCTTCGTATCAGGACAATCCTCAAACGAGTAGTGAACTCAAGGCTGCAATCGCAGAAATAAAATAAAATAAATGCCCAAAGAAGAGTGATTGACAATGTTGCAAAAAGAATGAAATTTTTTCTTCAATACCGATGAGGGCATTTGAAACATATATATTCTAGGAACAACATATTTTTGTCCAAAACGTCCTAGATTTTCCGACAATTTTGGGTACAAACATACACAAACATTAGTTCAAGTGTAGACAAAAATGAATATTTACTTTATTTTTGTAGAAGTAATCGAGAATTTGATGGCTAAGTTTTTTGGAGACCACGATGTATAATACAGTTTTTGATATAAATCAGTTTAAATATGCTGCTTCAGTCACTGTATTCGATATTTTGAACTTACGCAACACAAATGATACACCGACACCAAACAATTTCAGTCACAACATGATTTAACAACGGGCTAGGTCTTTGCCGTTTGCCAATTTATGTATTACTTATGTAGCCTTATTATTCAATGACTCAAAAAATATAAATGAATCTGTCAAGTCGCAACATGGAGATGGTCCTATTTGGCGTGCGTCAGTTCAATCAGATGCCCAGCTCTCACGTGTTGCTCTTAACAAAACCAAAATTATAATATGAAGGATGTTGTACTTACACTGCCGCTTCGAAACACTAAAGAACACGATAGTAAAATGAAGCTGTTATTTAAAACAGTACAACAAAACTTGCAGTGGATGGTGAAGGAAGCGTATGCCGTATGCGCTAGACTAGTATTATTATGAAACAAAACGGTTCTGAAAAAAGTCATAATATCTGGTCTACGTTAAGCCAGAAATTTCCAACACCGAAATCACAAGCAAACTAGTTTGAACCAAAACATAGGAGTAAATTACATAAACTATCACACTTCTTTTGAGTTCCCGTATTGATGTCAGCGCCCCCCAATTGCCCAGTTTAACATAACAGAGGACTGATTACACAATCAGAAAAGTAGGCAAAACCCACATAAAGTGTGCAATCCAGGCGATTTGAGACAAAAGCTATAGCCGAGAATGCGTAATTTTACCTGAATATTTATTACAGCAACATGTCAGCAAAAAGATCGATTACATTTCATTTTCGATTTGCTAAGTACTGTCATTTCTAATAGTGCAACGATATTTTTTGAAGTTATTGGTAGTGGGTATATTTGCAGCTTTTGCCGAATGCAACGCCCAGTAGAAATAGCATAATATTCAAAACAAGAGTACGATACTCAAATATAGGGACACAAAATAGTACGGTATGCAATCTGTCAAAGGAGTCTACCGGTATCGTTGTTTTCACGACTTCGTTTGACAATCACAAAGCAACGAACGCGGAGCCGCCACAATTTTTGATTGTGATGACGTCATCAAACACAAAAAAAACGTCTAAAGCAATTTTTGAAATGAATGAAAGTAATAGCTTTCTAGCGAAAAATACAGTCTTGAACCACTGGAAATTTCGAAGCAATTGGTCCATTAGTTGGTGAACTATGTTATTCTCAACAAAAACAAAATACAAACAAAATCAACAACAACATATTAAACTAAACATTTTGTGTCCAATAAGACTTCAATATAACCAAAATTCGAGGCTCGCAAACATAGTCCACACTATGTTGTTTTTTTTCCTTCTGATAACCCAACTATAGAAAAAAATTTTGTACTACAAAAATTTGTTGCATCGCGTTGGCAAACATGTTTTTGTTTGATCAGAATAATCCGACTTCATTTTCTAAATCTGAGGGTATATGTAATAAGGACTCCGAATATGACTCCAAATAACACAAAAGAAAGCTTATGGTCAATTTGGGCTCTAAACGTCATGTCCACAGCGCTATAAATCGTGTTGAATCGATGAGGGATTTTTCTCATTCAAGCGGCCACTGCAGAAACCAACTGAAAATTTGCTAAAAAATCTGGTTCATAACTGGTACGTATGCGTACCAAGATGGCGGACACCGGAACGTAGTATTTGTACCAGGTTAGAGTTAGGCCGTAATTTATTACAAGTTTCCATATTTTAGTTATATTATGAGTTCGGGGACTAGCCAAGTGACTCCCGTAGTATTTTTACCTAAGATTATGATCTAACCCTAACCTGGTACACATACTACGTTCGGGTGTCCGCCATCTTGGTACGCATACTTCAGGAGCGTACTACCGATAACTAACTGTTGTTGATAATTGTCAACCACGGAAACTTATATTGGATATAATTTTATTTCGAATATGGAATATTATGCTGTCTATACCGGGATAGCCTTTTTTTTTTAAACAAAAATCGTAGTTGAATTATGTAATGTTATTTTATAAATCCATCCATTGTCAAGTGTAACGACTCGCCCGTAACGACTTTCACCCCACTTGGATTTGTTTTGTTCATAATATAGTGCTCGTTTTTAATTATTTACTGGCCACCTTTAGATCATTTTTTTATATATCATCTATTTTTTGCTTTTCACTACTTTGCTTTTCATACTATTCAACGCTTATACAATGCATTCTACACAGAACCAAAATAAAAAATATATTGACATAACAGTTCAAAACAGTTTCCAGTTTTAACTTGTCGCAATCAATCTTCAAACAATGCAAATATTCCGGGTAGATTTTGTTGCTCTTAGTCTTGATCTTTGAGGTATCGGTTCGGGGTGAACATGTGGTGACTGGTATGCGATCTGCAAAAAGGAATTTGTTGAGTCATTTGAGACAAATTTAAAATGCCATATCTATTTGTGTGCTAAAAAAATAGGTTTCTCGTATCTATTCAATAATATGAAACCAGCATATCCTGTGTAGCGGTTAAAATAACTGCAACAACTACTTCTAGTATGAAAAATTCAGTAATTTCGTTAAAATTATACAAAATAAAGTATTAAATCGATTAATAATGTTAGATAAAATGATTAAAGTATTCCTGTACTGTTTTCTTTTATACTGAATTAAATATTATAAATAGCACCCTTGTGTTTATTGCCTTCAAATGTCAAAGTAGCAACTAATTTTTTAATAATATTTTATTACTAAATACCTTCAATCTCTGATTGACAGCTGGGGTTGCCTTTCTTATCCTTTCCGCATTTATTGTTCTTTTGTTCATCATACTATATGCAAACATCTTGGTCCCATCCTCAGATCTCTTTATGACGTCATCGGGTGGATTAAGTAGGGGTTCGACGTGGAGAACGGAAGGAACAACTCGCCTTTTTCGTCTTTCGATCTGCGAAAATGGTCTTTCTATTTCAGTTCTTATTTGAAAAATGCTATTCATATTGTCATTTCAGACAATTAATTGAATTTTCGGTTGCCTACAAAATGTACATACAGATTACTGGACATATATATGAAAAAACTTCTTTTTTGATCCATGACGCCTAAAATGCGATCCCAGCATAGTTAAAAGCTGTTCAAGTACCTTTTGTCGGCGCTTCATACTTCTGTGCATATGTCTTCCTTCGTTATAAGTTGAATACCTAAAATCATCGCTTGTCTCTTTTAGTGAATAATCTGTTTCATCGTCTGAAAGCCAATATACACTTGATCTTCTTTCTTCAGTAAAATCTGAGATTCCACTAGATCTAAATATTTAATTGTTGAATATACATGAAATTCAATCTTCGAGAATAATAATTCAATAACACAGAATATCATTTGGATATATGATATAAGTTTCATTTAATGCTATTTCGTTTAATGCTAGGAAATATTAGCGTTCACGTGAAATCCTACAGTGATTTTGAAGGAAACGTTTGCTTGCTCTTTCAAAACAATAGATCATATTTTATTAGACTTATAAAAATAAAATGAACTTGATGGATACCTTCTGGTAACTTTGCTATATAAAGCAATAGCGCTTTGGCGGTTTAATATTCTGCAAAACAGGCACCAATATTTGCGAAACGGGCACCAATATTTGCAACATATAAAAATTCTGATAAGAGCCCACCAGCTTGCTCGTATGTCCACTGTAGACATTTTTATCGTTGGACAGATCGTTTTCATATTCCAAAATGTATTAAAGCGAGAATAGAAAACTTCAATTACCCAGCAGTCCAAGCGTCTCGTTTGCTGGGCGTCCAGGGTGTAATAGGTAGCTGATATCGTTGTGAATTTCTCTGTCTCATTCGCTCTCTCGAACCAGGAGTCCATGATTCGTATGTTACAAAACTACATTCGCGAGATGTCAGCCTTGAGTCAAATGTTTTGGCGGAAAATCTTGCGTATCGTCTTTGGTCATCCGCCACCTCACCACAACTATCGGACTCCTCGGTAACCGTTGTTAGCGAATGTCTGTAAATTAAAATACCGATACATTAATATTTAAATTACGTTATCTGTACTTTTTTGTCTTTCACAAATGCAAATGCTTGGCAAAAATTAGTACTGTCTAAGATTTCACATACTAAGGCAATCAAATAACAGTCCGTGCTTAGCTGTGTGTTATATTATTTATTTTTAATATAACAATCTTATGATTAATATTATGACTTTATTATAATTTCGTCAAACAGGAGATTGAATTGGCGATAGAAGATAGACAAGGTGTTTTTACCGGTGATGCAAACGATCAAAGGGATCATCTTCATCATCCTCGTCCATTTCATATTTCCGCATGACATCATCATTCCTGGTAGGCAGATGGAAAGACGGAGATGATGGAACAAATAATTCTGGCGGGGTAACGACATAGTGCTTGAAAACGCCTTCTCGAAACCCTTTTCTCTTTTTTAATGTTGCCCTGTAATAAATGAAATTTTTTCGTAACTAAATTGCATCAATTTCAAGCTCCAGATAAACAAACCTCCAGGCTAGGGCTTTGTTCGGGTTATTTTACTTTCACGACTAGGATTGCATTCAGTGTCTAAGAATTGATTTCACTTAAGTGTATACTACTCTCAATTAATGAATACACCAATATTTCAAGGACGGTGAATCGCTCATCTTAATATTTTAGGAATATAATGTATGTTCGTAGAATTAGTCATGATAATATTGTGTCTTAGGTAAAACTGCTATTAAAATTCGATGCCTTTACATACACAAGCGACATAAGCTAAGCACATTTTATTTTTTAACATTTTTTCAAAGCAAACAGCGTACGAATAGTAGAGTACCCAGTACTTCCATCGGTACTTCTCATGTGCGTGAATGATGGACTAGAACTACAATTGGATGAATCGGTCGCAGAATATTCTGTTGATCTGGTTATTGCTCGAACTGGAGTTTTTATGCGGAGTATCTTCAATCTCCACCTTCGATTTATCTTTATTAATATAAATTGACGATACGTATTGTGTTTTCGATTTTTTTTTATTTATCTAACATTTCTATGGGATAGAAAAGTTATTTGTTAACAATGACTTTATCATCGAAGTCAGACAGACTTTCGATTGGTTTTGTTGTTTTTGAATATCGGTGAATAAAATTGATGAGGATATAGGTTTGCAAATTCATTATTTGTAAATCAAGTTGTACTTTCATATAAAATCACAATATGACATTGGCCAGTTCAAATAAAGGCAAAATGTTTACTTTTGAAAGTCGTGCTCTAGTGCTCTCGATTTCTGTTTTTATGAATAAGATATGTTTCAAGGAAAATGTCCTAATTTAAGAGAGTGAGCTATTCTAGTTGTTCATTGATCTGTCAGAGTCATATATTCTTTACTTAGGAATAAATTCATTCGAAATTGGGATTGAGAATCTGGCCAATCTATTTGAATCTTAAAAAAAGCAAATAATCTTACTAGTATTCCCAGCAAAGTGATGTAAAATAAAATCAGTAATGTTATAGGAATGATTATGTAAAGAAAAAAGGGATCCAACTCTTCAATTCCGGGAGTTGTCTCCAAAGATTCCGTTGTTGTTGCAATATTTTCTGAAAATTCAATTGTTTTAAAAATTGACCAGATATGCAAAAACATTTTGTTTATACGTGAGTATTATGAGTTTTAGATCATATTTCGTAAGAGAATACAAATTGAATAGTTTAAACTAGATTAAACTATTATATTTCCTAAAACTCTCAAATAGGCACTAATACCAAAATGCATTAAGAATGATCGATCATTCATTGCTTAGTGTTGTGACCTTCGATCAATGCGGTTCATGAATTAATCAAAACTTGAGATTCTCTTGACAGGTTGTTTATATAAGAGAACTTTAAAAAAATAATAGTTGTATTTATTTAATTTAAACTGAAATTTACAGTCACGGAAAGTGTATCCTAGATCAATTTCTATAAGCGCAACGACCATTGACAGGGAAGAGGGAAAAAATCGACTTTTAATTTGTGAATGGGGGATAACGAATAGAAATAAATGGTAACGAAAATGGCGATGCAATGAAGTCATCGAGTATGAACGAGTACAATGAAAACTATATAATATGAATTTTTGCCACGTTATGTGGGACCTTAACAGACTTGAACTGCCAATATTGCTACCTGATCCGTTGATTTTGCTCTATTTGTGAGTCAGCTAGACGCTAAGCTGCTGAAATCAACTACATGGTTAAACACGCTTATGAAGTAAAGTCTAAATTGAGGTGATGCAATTTCTCTACCTTGATCTTATTCACCATTCGGTTATTAATAAATTCGTTACTGACTGGGTTAGCATGTTCCATGTTGTCGTACGTTGAATTCCAACATTCCAGTTATTGGTATTTCCGGTGATAATTTACTTACACTTCTAGGGTGGCACAAAGTCAGGGCCAACTTCGGTGACGGCGAAAAGCCAGATATTGTAATACAATTTTTCATTAGTGCTCGCTTACCTCCTTCGACGGCAGTGGTGACATTACATTTCAAAATCATTACAATCGCCTTCGATTTTGTTACAGATCTGATGGCAATGTTGTACGTCGTATTTTGACTTTGTGACGTAACATCTAGTCGTCGAACGTCACCATTCAATTTTGTGACGTATCCATAGAAATTCAAATCCAAGGATTGAGCTACAGCCTCAAACGCAATCTCGTAGTCTAGTCCGTAGTACCTATGTGAATAATTAATTATTAAAGCATTTGACATCTTATACAATGAGAGAGTGCAATTATGATTGGAAAATTTAAATTCATATTATAAGTCACGATAATTTTTTCCTGAAAGCTAGCGCAAACATGTTGAGATCTATGCGCAGATTACAAATACAATTACAAAAATCCGACGTCAGTAGCAATTTGAATGAAAAGTGAACATATTAAATAGGAAACATTCAATTGAAAGTGAAATACTGCGTATGTGTGGACTTCCTTCATTCACAGGTTGGATTCAGCTGCATTCAACCCTCTATATTTCTAAGTAATATTTCCAATACTGTACTCATAACGTACACTAATCAAATTCAAATATTATCTTTATCCCGCCCGTGTTTAAAAAAATCAGATTTATTCCACAAATAATAAGTATTGTTGTTAAATAGCTTGGAAAACATACAACATTCTTCAACATTCTTGAACTCGACTATTTTAATTATGGTTTGTATATTGCGTATTGCAAATAGAGTTTCAGATAAATAAATAGTTTATATTAAAAAATGAACTAGTTCAACCATGTCATTGACTTTATATCAGACTTCTTGAGTATAATCAAGTGGTAAAAAAATGTACTTTACGATACAATATTCCGATCCTAATCTCAGACTGGTCGAAAGAGTTTATGGCTACTCTATTTGCTTTAGAATAATTTAATTACAATAATTTTAGTTATGACAGGAACCTACTTTGTTAGATTGTCTTCATATTCATCAAGAATAACATCGCGAAAATTTTCGCCTGAAACTTGAAGAAATTTCTCGTATTCTGTCACACTGTACCATGATATAACGTAATATTCTGCGCCGTGAACTCTGTCCCAGGTCACGGAAAATGAAGATGGAGAAGAGGAAATGCAAACTAGGCTGGATGCCATCAAACGATGACTTTGAACTGAAAGTGTTTGTAAGAAAAAGAACTGATATGACGAATAGTTTTTCTTTTCTCGGTTGTAGAGAAGTTGAACCTAGGATTTTAAAGGTAAATCCTACAATCATGCTGAATCAATACAAAACTATTAGATTATACATCTAGATGTAAGTTGTATAATTTCAATATATACAGCGAAGCCGTTATTATGGCTCTCCAAAACATGTAACTCTTCCTCATTAGTTGGTGCCTGTGTAAAGAGAGTGTGGAACCTTTTTTTTTTTGAAGTAATGAAGAATGCAGACGTCGTCAATCAATATAAAATTGTCAATTCCAAAATTTTCTCAAATACTGCAATAGGCATCACAATAATTTGATTTTTGGAACAACTTCTTCTATATAAATATTCTCACATGAACCATCGATAGGTAAAGATCGATTCGACTGGCTCGATTTTTTCTCATAATATGTAGTCCTGTTATTTGCTATATATTTTTCACTGAACTTCGCCATCTGAATACCCCAAAGTGTCTTTTGCATATTACTATGGACTGAATTGAGCAAAATTATGAAAATGGTTTTATTAACAATTTTTTACACAATGATAGCAAAACACCCAGTAATGTAATTAGGCACTCACCTATTATGAAAATTATCATGCACTTGAAATTTCCGTCTAATACAAGCCACAGTGAAAACATGTGTTCACAATCTCGCCAGTGCTTGCATTGTGATAGTTTATAAAAGATGTAGCTTATAAAAGAAGTTATTAAATAAATGACATTTAGATATAACCTGAATTGTATTAAATCAGTGTATTGAGATCATCATTTTTTTATTATTTCGAACTCTCGCTTTCCCTCGTTATCTTTTTTCCATATTGGTATACATTTTAGTACTCAAACTGCAAACCAAATCGATTATATTTATCATTTATGTCCATTGCTGGATTCTCCTTAATTAAACGATAAAAATAACAAATTTATTGATACATTCTACTCGCATCACGAGACACTAAGACTTACACAAGGCTCGGTTAAATTTTCAATTCACTCATTCTCATTCATGTACCCAAAATCATAACAATTCAATCCCAAGCTATATACATATAGGTAGCAGTTATGACGCACGCTCAGTCCCTTTGTAATAGACCAGAAAATTGAAGGTTGTGACACGATTCAATAAAGTAAATGAAATGAAAGGTATCATTAGAATCAAAATAGGTCCACTTTTAATAGTGTAAATAATGTCTTCGTTTTTTGATAAAAAATAGAAAGCAGATGTTCTCCAAATTTATCAAATTCAACAAATATATAAATTAATTTTCAAATTCATAAGACACAACACATTTGATAAAAACGAAAATCCATAATTTTTCATGTGCATTCAATATGAATACAAAAAATATTGGCAGTTTTAAATTTGTATCAAAATGATTAGGATATAAATAATCCAGTTATTTTGTACCATGATGTATAATATATGTAATAAATAGGATTGTCCGGTTTGAGTAAAGATTGATAAACACTTTGTCTGTTTAATTCTAAATAGTTGAGCTTCGGTTACTATATCTTGCTGAACAAAAAGTTCGCCTTTCTTTCATTAGTTTTTCAAATTTGTGGAAAGAAAACGCAAAACCAAAGCAATTTTATAATAAACCTTTCCTACAAACTCTTCTGAAATGAAAAGCCTCACGTCACGTATGGCTTTGTATGACAGGGAGGAGGCTATACATATTTGGTCGATGCATGGCAGAAATAGCGTCCAGCGGTCTTTGTTAAATTAAGTGTGAAAAGTATTAAAACTTGTAATCACTGATACGTGCATATGAATCAATAAAATCGATGAAAGGGTTCACCGCAATTCATTTGAAGACAGGACATTATATTTGAAATATCGATTATGGATAATTACAATAGTCGAATAAATATTCTTATACCAAATGTTATTTGAGGTTGAACTATGATACCACCATATCAAAAAATTATCCGCGCCTAGAATTAGAATGCAATAAATCTGAATATCACAGGATGAGCACGTGTCTCGCTTGTAATGACGGAGACCAATAGTCTTTTCATTGCTATTGATAAGCAAGTTCTTGACACTGACGTGCCATGTTACTCATGCGTGGCCAAATGATTGATGAACGATCGCTGTTGAAATCGCTCTGACAACGATCTGACACCATGTGGAGGTGCAACCTCGTTAACGACCTGTTGACAAATGACTCTCTCTTCAGGTCATTGTATGTGACGGGTTAAGGATAGGAAGTTGGATTTTAACAGTTTATACATTCAGTATTAATCAAGATATCCCGACAACTGAGTTCAAGTAGAGCGTTTTATTAGCAGATTTTCAATAATAACTTCAATGGAATTGCCTTATTATATTCAAATGTACTCTTTTAAACGTGATTTGAAGAAATCCAGATTACTGTAAAAGGTAGTGTTTTTTTTTTTTTTTTCTGAACCCTTATCATGA